CAATTGGGAGTGGAGAAGGGAGAAGCTATAAGGGACAAAATTGTGACAATTGGGAGAATCTTAATATGACTGTATATTAAATATAATTATCACTTTAGTTTCAACATCTTAAGTATTATAACTGTGTTTTGTTTTGTATGTCTTTGTTCAATTCAAAGAAAAGTGACTGTATATCTGATAGAACATACCTAGAGATATATAAATGTGGAAAGACAGAAAGAAATGTTAATAATGGCTGTGTCAATCTATGAAGGCTGCATGGTGTTTGCCATATTAGTCTTCTGACTTTTCTGTGGGTTCTAAATTTTCAAAATAAAAAGCTGATTAAAAATATACATATATTCTTGGCCAGGTGTGGTGGCTCACGCCTATAATTCCCAGCACTTTGGGAGGCTGAAGTAGGAGGACTGATCGAGGCCAGGAGTTTGAGACCAGCCTGGGCAACACAGGGAGACTCTGTCTCCACAAAAAAAATTTAAAAATTAGCCAGGTGTGGTGGCACACACCTGTAGACCCAGGTACTCAGGAGGATGAGGCAGGAGGATTACTTGAGCCCAGGAGTTGGAGGTTATGGTGAGCTATGACTGTGCCACTGCACTCCATTCTGGGTGACAGAGCAAGACCCCATCTCTCTCTCTCTCTCTCTCCTAGCCCCCCCACATGGATATATATATATACACACACACACATACATACATACATATATATATATTCATTCTTATGTCAGTGACATCTATTAATAAATAGTGTATTACGTACAGGTGACAGGGCATCGTTGTCTGTGCTCTTCTGGGTCTTCTCCTTGGAGTTCTCTTTCTGACTGACTGCTTGCTCAGCAAATGACACCTCCAGGTTGATGTCTGTTTCAGAGGCAGGTGCATCCTCAGGTAGCATCAGCTTCTCTTCACCAACAATGAGGTTGGATGCCTGGTCTGAGATTGGGGCAGAGGAGACCCAATTCATATGCTTTCTTTCTTTTTTTTTTTTTTAATTCTAATGCATTTACTATATAAAAACCTTTGGGAAGAGTACTCTTTTCTGTATGCCATAATTAACTGTTATTTTAATAATAAAGCAATAAAGAATGCAGTCAAGAATCCTATCAATGGTGCATGGGAAGAGGGTAGAGATGTTGGTGACCAGCAATTCACAGTTCAATTATGGAACCTTTCTTTGACATAACAATTCTTGGTTAGACTGAGTCCAATTCCAAAACATGGCTGGAAGATATCACATACTTAATGAAAAACCTCACAGAAGTTTAGAAGACTTAATTGTTCTTTTACTCCACACCAAGGAATTAAAAGCAAAAAAAAGAGAGAGGTGATCAGCTATAATCAGTTGTAGAGCTAGCAATATACCATTTAATTTCTTTACAGTGGATCAGATTCCTGGAATAAAACTCTTCCACACCCTGAATTTCCTTTCTGGAATGTTACCTACCTATCATGATAAAAATTTCAAAACAACAGTTAGTGCCAAAAACTTATCACTATGAGAATGATATGGGAGTCAGGCCTGGACGTACCTGGTACAGGAACCATTAGGTTTTACAACTCATTATGTCAAACAGTATAAAAGTTCCTATAATTATAAACACTAGTCAAATAATTTTCAGATACTTACATGAAAATTTCAAGGATATAAGTCTAATTTATTTTTGGCTTTTTTGGTTTGTTTGTTGTTAACCCTCCAAGAAGGAATTAACATCCAAAACCTCTTTGCTGAAAATACCAGCTTTAAGCTTTGGAGAAAAAAATACTTCTAAATTTGACTATTTTATAAATTTTGGTTTTAATGAAACTCACATTAGAAAAAAATCCTAGAACCAATAACCAGGATTACTGATATTTTCTCACCACAGACCTTTGATTCATAGTAAGAAACTCTGAAATTAC